GTGTACTGCATCATCCGCAACCCGCCGCCCTACACGGCCGACCGCAAGGGTAACATCCAGTATTTCCACCCTCAGGGTCGCCAGCAGTTCGTCTACGAGGGGCTCATTGTTGGCGGCTACGACGTGGCCGCTGCTGTCTTCATGATCCTGCTGTCGCAGTGGGCGCTGTACGTGCGCAACCCCGCTGTGCGCTACCTGTCCATCGTGGGCTGCGCTGTGGGCTTCGTGTTCATGTACCGCCAGATGACGAACGCCTACAAGTTCAAGAACCGCTGGTACACGGGCTGGATGGGCTTCTAAGGCGGCACGTTACCCAAATACCAAGGGGCACGTTGCGGTCTGTTGCAGAAGAGAATTGCGTTCATTTGTGCATCACTAAAAGCTCATTTTGAACAAGTTGTCTTTTTGTCGTCAACTGTCACAATCTAAGCCTTTTTCTGCCCAAAATCCAGCCAATCGCAACTGAGTATTACGTCCATCGGACCAAAATGTCCCAAATCCGAGCCGGCAGTCGCAAATCCGCCACCTCCCATTTAAGTCTCGACACCTGGCGCTGTCTAGCCGCTCGCGACGATGGAGGGATGGCTCACCAAGCGCCGCGACCACATGAATCTTATCTGGCGTACGATCTCTTCATTCACGCAATTTCCACCTCAAAACTCCTAGTAGAAGACTCACAAACTATGTGTCATAATTTGTGTCTTCTCCAGTGGATCGCTACTTCCTCCTGGACGGTAACCAGCTCCGCTACTACCGCAAACGCGGCGACCCTGCGCCTCGTGGGACCTACATTCTGACTGATGGCTGTATGGTGAGCCCCGTGTTCAACTCGGAGGAGAAACACAAACACCACGGACCCGTGTGGATGTTCCGCATCACTTTTGCATTGGGCGACGCAGTGAACGGAGAAAAGTCGTACAAGAAGGACCGATTCCTGGATCTAGGAGCTAAGAGTGAGGAGAATGCCAAGGAATGGAAACGCGCGCTGGAGAACGCCGTGCGGTCGCTGCAAGAGCTGGTGGCGCATCAGAAGAAGCTTAAGAACGACGCCGAGATCTTCCCCACGCCCACCCACGTGCCGAGGATGTTGAAGGCCGATGAAGACACGATGTCTCTCTTTAACTTGGACGCAGACAATGACAAGGCGGAGCAAGCCTGGTGGTTGGCCAGGGTGGAAGGAGGACTCCGGATCATGCAGGAATGTCCACTGGGTCCCAACGTTGCGGCCAATCTGTTCGCTCAACAGGCAGCGACAACCAACGGACTGATCTTCAGTGCGTGTGTGGGCGCAGCGCTGAGCTTTAGCAGCATGTATTCGTTCGCGAGCAACATGTTGCTGAGCTTTATGACGGCACTAGTGGCTATTGCTGTATGCTGCGCTGCAGTGACCCCTACCCAGGCGCCCGAGATCCCGAGCTTCCGTGTGTCCCAAGTAGTGCATGGCTCTCCAACTGAAGTCTTTAGACTCCTCATGAACCCCAAGAGATTCCAGAGATGGGACTCGGGGACGGCGACGATGCGTGTGGTGCAGCAGCTGGATGACCACGCTGACATCGTGTACATTACGCAGCGACCGACGCACTTGTGGCCTCTGTGGCAGAAAGCTCGTGACCTTGTGCTCATGCGCTACTGGAGACGCGAAGAGGACGGATCGTACTTTGTCATGTACCAGAGCATCGAGCATCCCGAGTGTCGGGTGCGTCACAACTATGTGCGAGCGAACTTACTGGGCGGCGGCTTCGTTATCGCTCCCCAGCGTGTTCCAAGTGGATCGATCCGAACTCTGGTTACTTACGTGCTTCGTTACGATCCAGGCGGTTGGTCCCGTATTTACCACCAGCTTGGCATGGATGTGGATCTCGTAATGCCAATGCTGCGTAGTGTCGTGGGGATTCGTGATGAAATGAGCGCTACAGACTTCATCACGCCCAATGTCTCGATGGCGCCTGCAGCAGAGGGCGAAAGCTCGGAGACTGGACCGCAGGAGAACAATTTCACACAGCGAACCAGTGTGGACTCGATGGGCGTCGTCATGGGCGTACAGAAACTGCAGACCAGTTTCCCAGAGAAGATGTGGGGCGAGCCGGACGCTTCGCTGTTTAGTGTTCGAGGACACAACTACCTGACCGACAAGAAGAAGATCCCTTCGGCCCCCGCCATGTTCCATACTGTGGGTGTCGATCTCTTGTCCTTTGAGAGTCCTGCTGAGAGGTACAACATCTCGTCTCGATCGGACAGTGTCGGCCGCACCAGCTCCAAATTCACGTTTGTAGTCAACATGATCATCCCAGGTCCAGAGAATGTCTGCATGGTCTTCTACTTCCACCCTGTGCGCGACAATGTGTTCGAGGACGGCTCTGGCTTCTCCGAGCTACTGAACGACTTCTTCGACGGCGACGACCAGTTCCGGAACTCTCGCTTCAAGCTCATCCCTACCGTCGTTGAAGGCAGCTTCATCATCAAACAATCGGTCGGGTCCAAGCCGACGCTGCTCGGTAACAAGCTCAAGTGTCCATATCACCGTGGAGAAAACTACTTCGAAGTGGACATCGACATCTCCTCCAACTCGGTTGCCAACACAGTGGTGGGGATGGTGCAGGGAGTGACCAAGTCGCTGGTGGTGGACATGGCCTTCCTGCTCGAAGCCCAGACCGACGAAGAGCTGCCTGAAGTCATCCTGGGAGCTGTTCGCATGCAGCACATTTCGCTTGACAACCCGCGCCGCATGCCCAAGCTGTCGCCCTGAAGAACGTGAGACTTCCGTAAGCACGCCAAATGCACAATACTACTGTAGTCGTCTTCAACATATTTCGTGTGGCTCGATTCTTGCTGGTCTGCTGTGAACTTCAGCAGCGCGGCTACTACAATTCCTATCTGTGTTCCTACCCTACTACTAAGCTCATAATTACCTTCACTACTTCCAATCCTGTACTTACCTCAGAGTCGACAGCACGGCAAGGTTTGGCTCATGCTTTCTAATATTGGTCGCCATTTGCCTGGTCTCGAAGCTGACAGCGCTCGATTCCAGCTTCGTCACTGGCGTCTCAAGTGTTTCCTTCTGTCGTGACAGCGGTGCACTATCAGCTGTCGGGATGAAGTTGGCGTGGTCCCAGACGGTCTCGCCCAGAGCAACCTGGTTCCAGAGGTGACTCACCAAACTCGAGTTGTGCAGGTCGGCGTTCGTGAGAAAGTGGAAGATCTTGGCACTGACGCCGCTCTCTAGCGGAGGAAGAGCTGCTCCAAACAGCGGCAACACGAAGACTCGTTCGGCTCCACTCGTGCATCGAACCCCAGCTGACAACGCAGCCTTCCCAAAGCTGCTGCTACTCTTGTCAAAAGCGTACTGCTGCAACTCTCGCTTCTTCAACAACAGTAAACTGTGCGCAGCTCCTGCGCTGCCAGATCGCTGTTGTTCGCCGTCTCCTCTGATTGGTGACATCTTACGCGAGCGCTTGACTATAGTTCGATAGGTTAGTTGAGGCGTTGGTGGTGAAGTGAATGGCATCGCCCTCACGCGGACACTCGGTGGAGTTCCATTACCACCTCGTGATGCCAAAAGCCTCAACTGTAGTAGCTCTGTGCGCTCCCGCTCGCGTCCTGGAGAAGCCTCAAACGGTGAAGAAAAGTCCTTCTTCCAAGTCTCACGATCAATGCGCATTCGCCTGTGGACACCCTGAAGTACAGGCGATACAAACGTCTCGTCGATCTCGCTAGATGGCGTACCGATCACACCTGAGCCCGTCGTTACCCCACCATTGGCGTGAGCCACACACGGTGTCTGGTTCTTGCAGTCCTGTCGAATTTAAGGTCAGCAACATGCCTCGAGTAACACAGTAAAGGCTGGTTTCACTTACAATACAGCGGCAATTCTCTCCGCAAGGCACGCCCGCTTGAAAGCACTCGCAGTATTTCTTCTGACACGCTGACTTCTTGCAATGGCACCCGTGCTTGTGCATCTTCGTGTTCGCCATTCCAGCACTTAAGAGCTGCCGTTGCTGAAGACTCAGCTGACCTGGAGGTGACAGAAAGGTCCCTGTTGAAGCTCGCCTGTCTGCTGATAACCTCCGAGCTCCTCCTGAAGTCACAGTAACCATTGTAGAAGTGGCTCCGATCTTGGGCTTGAAGGCGTTCGGGTTCTTCTCCAGTCGCGACGCGATGGCTTGCTGTCGAACGTCCTCTGCCGCCGTTGTGTTGGTGCAGTCGAGACAGTTGCAGCTTTCGTCACAGTATCCACCGCTAGCGAAGCATTCGCAGTAGAGTTTAAGACACTTGGACTTCTTGCAGTTGCACGGGGCTTTCTTGGGAGCTGGGATCATCACGACTGCAGGACCGAGAGGAGCTTTGGACGCTGACTGCAACGACATCGTCAGTGAAGTTGAAGGTCCTATAAGCGTTGGCGTCTTCAGTATACTGCTGTCGAGCGAAGTCAGGACGCTCCCGGGGTCTAGCTGCGGTGTCAGCATAGTGAACGGGCCCAGAGCTGCTGCTGCTGCTTCTGCTTCTCGCTTGATTTGCTTGGCTGGTGTGATCGCTAGAGCAACAGCCTGTCGAACTCCCAGTGGAGACTTCCGCATCTTCAGTCCTGACAGGTTGGCGATCGACGACGACATCGAGACGCAGTGAGACGCTTTTCGCTTCTTCTTCTTGTTCACAGGTGTGGTGGATGCTGCTGGCGTTGGCTCTGACGCTGGGATCAATCTGCGCGCTAGTGGTGGAGATTGGGGCGTTTCCATCAAAGTGCCAGCTCTGTTTAAACGACTTGGAGCGAGCTTTCGAGGTGTTGGAGTCTTGAACTGATGAGCATCCGGTGTTTGGCCGTTCCAAGGATGCAACGGCGACCGCGCAGGACGCGGTGATGCAGCTATCTTGACCGGGGTTTGCAGCAATTTGCGTTGGACATTACTGGAAGACGAAGGCTGCTGACGCTTCTCTTCTACTTTGCGACGACGAATGTACTTCTTTCGCTTCCTACGAGCCAGACACACAAAGTTAACTCGTACTTTCAGCACCGGATCTTCCAATGTGACAGACTTACAAGCTCTTATTGATGGCCTGGATCTCGCGAGTGTGGTGCGAGTCCGGTGGTGACGGAGAGTCTCCGAACGACGTGTGGAGCTTCATCTTCATTACGCTGTGACCTCCAAGCTTTGACCGTTCGTCTCTGCCTGGCGTTGCGCTTGTCGACGCCTGGATGTTTGGAAAAGACTCTCTAAAGAGGTTGGGAGAGACTAATCCATTGGCAGAACCAGGAGCCGAAATACCACCGCCAGCTAATGATCCGGCTGACGAGAGGCCTCGAGGATTCTTCCATCGGTTCTTCGGTGTCTTGAGGATCAACGGGATGCCACTATGAGCGTCTGTGGACGGGCTTGTCTCTTTGTTGCCATGTTCATCTTCTGGAAATGGTGGGAGTCTGTTTGAGCAACAGCAAGAGAGTGCAACACTGATTAGAGCGTGTGGCACGACAGATCATGTCCATAGGGAGGAAATTGACGTACAATTTCGGCAGTTCGTAGGACGAGAGCGACACAAGTGGCGACAGTCTCACGGACATGAAACTGTTCTCGAACTCCTCTGCTGGCATGAGTGGGGACAGGGAGTTGGCGAAGGAGAAGAAGGAGTCGTGCTCGCTTGGACTCGTCGATAGACCACTGGGTGCGCACTGGATATCGTCAGCGTCTAGAAGCGAGGCTGAAGTGTCCACTTGTCTGCCGGTAGCTGGAGATTTCATTGCTCCTCGAACAGTTCCACGCTCCTCGTCATCGTCGGTGCGGTCAAACACATATTTTAGTCGTCGAGATAGCAGCATCTGTCTGGATGACGGCGATGGAGTCCGTGGAGGCGTCGCTGAAGTCGAAGTCTTCCTCACGGGCGCTTTTAGTCCCACTTTATCTGTTGTAGGCGCTTTGTTTTCCTGTTCACTGAGTGAATCAATAGTCTCTAGCAATCTCTTAGGAGTCGCGACTCTGATAGGCACAATAGAGCGTCGTTGCGGCGTCTTGGCAGCTCGCTTCTCCTTTCCTGTGGACCTGGTTCTCGTCACGAGAGGCGATTTGAAGAATCTCGAAGGTGAACACGCAGCACTGGATCGAGACGACAGAGCTGGGGACGCTAGAGGTCCTGCTACCATCTCCACACCCAGAGAGGAACCTGCAAAGCTGCGGCGATGCGGCGACGGCGTGAGAAGCGAGAATTCTGCGTCTGAGTTGAGCTGTAAAAAGTCAAAATCGCTGTCGTGCGGCGATACGTCGGTGGAGATGACGCTCATCTCTTCTTCTGGAGTCTGCACCTGCTGCCGCTTCATCTCCAGCTCCGGCTCTGGCTCTGGTTGCGTCTCTGCGATCTCCGTAGCATGCTGTGATCTGTCTGTGGAGGCTTCTGAGGCCGCGACGTCGCCCTGTTCGGCGCGCTTGGGGCTGGACACGCCCATGGCCTCTAGTGGTGTTCACAGGGCGATAGGTCTCGAAAAGGTCGCACGGACACACACCGACGACTTCAATGAGCAGATGTCTTGAATTATGGCGCGGAAAAGACGCGGGAAATGTTCATACGGGTTTTGACCAATGAGAGGGTCAAGCACATTGAGCTCCAACCCAAATTGTAAATAGTCCTAGTAGTGTCATTTTAAAAGAGCCCGGACTATTTTCGATAAGGCGAAACCTCGTGGCAAGAAGCGCGTATGGCGCTGCAGTTTTTCAGGCAGTAGGTGTGCGACATGGAGCTTAAACTCACGCGGCTCAAGTTGCAGAACCCGTCACTGGGCGCCGTTGCCGTGAGCTTAATCCACAGCAGCATTGGTCGAAAATTGGTCGGACCAAAAGTCGGTCTGGAACGGTCTCGCCGAGCGGCAGCTGAAGAAGCAAATACGCATGGAACAGCAGCAGCGAACACTGAAAGACATGCTCGTGGATTTGTGAACAAATCGGCGGAGCTGCAAAAGTTGCTGAAAAAGTGGGATGATCACCAGGTGAGGGCTAAAAAGGCAACTTCAACTTGACCGCGACTGATGAAAATGGTTTAAATTGTAGCAAGAAGTGGCGAGATCAAACACCAGCTGTAGCAGCGATATTACGACTTCAAGGCCGACCCTGAGGACGAAATTTACGCTCATCAACTGGCAATCGTGACGAGGACGCGTGTCTAGTGCAGACCTAAAGTCCTAGCAGGACGTTGTGCCTGTCGTCGGGGTTGTCGATGGGTCTAGAGATTGTCAAGCACGACCCAAGCGTGAAGGCAGGATATCCTGGAATTGCAATACGGAGCAATCCTTCCTTTGCGTTGAAGTTGCTGCCGATGTGTACTGGCATTTATTTGCTGTGACGACTATGGGTTCGAAAGTACGATTGTGGTCTGTGTGTTTACTTCTTTTGTCGTGGAGCTGAAAGTGCTGTACTTGTGCAGACGGCTACCATAGTGCGTCTGCTTAAGATTCGGACAACGTCGAGGCTACACTCGAAGGTGGACGGCAAGCACACCGCTCGCAGATACTCAGAAGAGTATACACCATTGTCTACTAGACTGGCAATGGAGACGTCGAGCCTCGACTCGAGGAGGTTGGTGGTGAACTACTGTACAGCGATACACAACCACAAGCGAGGCTGTATCAAACTAAAACCTGTACCTCGACAAGGTCCTGGACATACGTCCACGTCAACTATTAACTACAGTGAAGGCTTCGTTCAAGACGATCCCGTTGTTTCGTGACAGCGTCGTCGGCAAGACCCAGCAAGCGCAAGCTTTCCTTGGCTCGATCTCGTTCAGCTCGTCGGTGGTGGTGGATCGGAAATCCACCTTCAAGTAAAGTAATCATGAGTCATGATACATGATGTCAAATAGGTTCAAATTGGGTTCACAGTCACTTTGTAGCTCCTCGATTCAATAAGATGACGACTTTTCACTACTTACCGCAACCGAAAATCCTGTTTAACTCGAAAAAGATACGATTTTTGCATGCGGCTGATTTTCGCCGCAATTCGCCTTCGTCATTCTTCAATTTGCTTCGCAACAAGCAGCAGCACTTTATAGCGACGACCTCAATCGAAATGCTGAGCTCCAAGATCCTCGCTGTCTTCGCTGTGGCGACCCTTGCGACTGCCGACGACTACACTACCGATGACTACATCACCGACGGCGACGAAGGTTCCAGCTACATTGACGATGGCAGCTTCGACTACAGCGCGTTGCCGGCCTACACGTACACGTTCGACCCGGAGTATTCGGCGGGCGTAAGCGGTACCATCAACGTACAATACGGCGGTCCGTTCTCCACCTTCGCCGTGATCACGACCGATCTCGACTTCAGCGACGTGGATCAGAGCGAGATCATGGCGTTCGACGGTAACTGCACCGAGGAAGTGACCGAGTACAAGTGGCACATCCACGTCAAGTGGCCCCACGACTACGACTCCGAGTCTTTCGAGCAGTGCGGACTGGCTATCACGGGAAACCACTACGACCCGCTCAAGGCATGCGGTCCCAACTCCGAGTTCGTCGGTACTGAAGAATGTCTGCT